GCTGCGGTGGGTGAAATTATTTTGCCAATTACAACTGCAATTTTTGCACAAATGGAAATCCCCCTGACAGACAACTGAAATATGCAAATTAAATTTATGACTCGACATTCCTCGAGGCAAAAAGTGCCGGTTGTGAAATGCAATTCTGGTGTTGCATACTGTTGGTAGGAAAAAAGGAGCTCAAAACTAAAAATCCAGCCTTTAATGGCAGACTTAAGCCTTAAAGTACAAATAAGCGGATATTCGGCTCCTTTGCTGTCAAGGATTTTGCATTCCGGGTTTGGATTTTGTGTCACATTTGTGTAACGTGTATTTCTCCCTTTCTTTCTCTGCACTTTTTTGGCAGCCTGAGCCATCGCATTAGGGCTAAGCAGAAGGCTCGAACCCGAGCCGACTGATGGAGTCTCTGATGTAAGCCCAGTTCTGTATAATTGATGACATCCGAGCGGGACCGCACAAGCAGGTCAAGGCAGGTGGCTGGGGGCTCATCCAAGGCCAGTTAGGCACGTCTTGCAGGTAAGTGAGCCCTTAAATTGCCCACTCTCAATTTCGCTGGGAATAACCCTTTGAAGTTCGCCATTTGAATAATGGTAAATTTTCCAAGAGGGATAGCTTTGAGTTCTTTTTTTAAATTAATATTATAAAGAATGCATATTTACAATAGGCAAAACGGGTTCATGCATTAAATTCCCATTTTGTTGAAAGATGCAGCTCCCAAAGATAAAGCTCCCTTAATTGATTAAATATATATTTTTAATAATTCCTTATTGTAAAATACGAATTACTGCAAAACGTTTTTAAGAATAGATACACACATCTATTTTTATTCTATTTGTACGGTAAAGGTAGAATTCTAAGTGGCTTTCCACACAAACTCAAAAAAGATATTTCCGATAAGACATCCAAATAAATGTAATTATGTTTTGCTGAGGCTAACACACTAGACTTGCCCTTGAAGCAGTATTCTATTTCTCCGCTCGCAGATAACCAATTTCACACCAATGCCAGATGGAATACCCTTCGGTTAGTCCTGAAGAAAAAATCGATTTCGGGGCCATTGGATGGGGAAGGCTTCGGCTCCACCATTCATTCTGGCTCCACTCGTGCAGGCAATAAAGCGTTCCCAGGACCCATAATATTTGCCTAAATGTTTCGGTCTCTGCTTTGGAAATCCCTTCAGCGGATACTGGCTAAACCTATGACAACAACTTGAAAAACAAGCGGACAAGCATTCCCTCTGCAGAAATTTATGCGGTCGGTCGCATAAACAAATTTCAACTTTCCAACAAGCCGAACAAAAATTGCAAGGTGGCGCAAGCTGAATAAGCAATTCGATTTTGCCATATGCAATGTAAATCCTCCACGGACTTAAAGAGGACGTACGTAGGGACATGCGGCACATGTTCCAGGCTCAAAAGTTGTAGGCAAAAATGTGGAAGGAACGGAAAAAACGTTTGCATATGCTTTAATCAAAGGCAGTGACGTACGGGAATGTGGTTCATTCTTAAAAACGTTGCCAGGATTCCGGAGAGGGTTATCGCTGGTTGGGGCCGCGGGGTCTGGGGCTTGGGGCTTGGGGTTTCGAGAGAGGGCTTCCTCCAGAAACGGAACTGTTGACAAAGCCATGCGGGTTGCTGCTCAGCAAGGATTGCCAACGGACATTTGTGATTGTCCGCTGGCAAGTCCGGCGCACGCGCAAGGGTTAATCCTGAGAGAACGGAGAGAGCTTCGCGACTCTTTCTCTGCTCTGCCGCCCTTTCTGCGGCTTACACGCCCCACTGGGTGGTTGTTGTGCTCTCGGCAGGGTTGCTTTTGACATTCTGTTCGCCATGTGCCCCACTGTAAGAAAGCTGTGCACTGGGAAAAATAAGAACTATTTAATTTGAAAACTGCTTTGAGTTCAGAAAAATGGGTTTTTTCTTTTGACAGCATTGAGAAGATATTCCATTTTCGTTTTTAAATAGCACTTCGCACTTACATTCAAATCTCCTACATAATTTCAAAGCATTGTCTTGTCTATTTAAGCGAAAGGTATGGTACAGTTTTCCTGCTTTGCGAAATAAGTAAATTTTCTATTGCTTTAATATTCTTTTATGAATATTCTATTACTTTTTAATCAATTCAATTACATGTTGAGAGATCCATCGAAACAAGATCTTACCCTAATTTCTTGCAGTGCACCCTCCCCGCTGCCCCATTTTGCACCCATCAACCCCTCGTTTCTTGGTTGCCGCTTATAGCTTTTTAATTGCAAATAGGAACTGTTAACATTTTTGTTTACGTTTATTAAACTAATTGGATGAGGCAATGCCACTGCATAGTTTACATCCTGGTCACCTGGCCTTTGTTGGGGATTTTCGGGCTGCAGAAACGAGCGCCCACGGTTAGGGCACTCCCGACTTTGTCTACAGCCGTAATCCCCCGGGTCATTAAGGCGTCTACGTGTCTGCAACGGCAGCATCGCAGGATGCTTCCAGCCAGGACATTGTCGCCTGCCGATTGTCGCATGTTTTATTCAGTTCTGCGATGTTCTCCTCGTCGCCGCCATCAGGTTGTAAATATTGAACAACACCAACAACAGCGGCGGGGAACAACAACCGAGGACAGAAATCCACCGGAAGCCAAAATGGTGCTCATATTTTAAGATGCTGCATTTTTGATCTGACGCGACAGTTTTCTTATTGCCCAAGACGAAGGACACCTTAATTGTTGGCTGCGAAAAGGATGAAAGCCAAAGTGCTGGGAAAGCTTAAGCTGCAAGAACCCCTGGGACATGTCAAAGGAAGAAATGGAAAAGGAAACAAAAATGGAAATATAAAAAAAGAAAGAGAAATTGTAATAAAATAGAGATAGAAATTGAGTTAGAAACAGAGATAGCAACGCAGATATGATAGGAAAGGATAAAATTATACGAAAGCCACTGGAGCTTAACATTTGGCATTTTTATCGATAAGCCAACTTGTCCGCCTTGTATCTATGAGATATGAAGGAATTCCCTGGTCTTGCGTTTGATTGATAAAAACTTTGACTTTGCCTGATGAAAAGTTTGCAAGTTGTAAGCGCAAAGTTTCAAAGAATATGTCATAAGCAAGTTACATAAAATGTAGCACAAATGTTGCATTACAGAAGATTTGACATTTACTTTGGTCTGACAGTTGCGAAATTACCAACAATAATTTACATTGAATAAATGCTTTCACAAGCGAAACAACTTTATATACATCTTAAACAGATTCTTGCGAATTTTATGAACGCGAAATTTAATAAAATTTAGATCCCATTCAATTTGCCCTTGCTCCCCAAGAACAATGTCCTGCCATTTATCGACTTTTTGTTGCATGGATTTATTTTTTGGTACGCCCGAGAGTAGAGTAGTTCATTAGGGCAGTGCAATGTTGACAACAACATTTTGAGGGTTGAACTTGGCTATAAATACGAAACTATAATGCTCACAAAAGAAACTAAGCTGACAAAAACAGACAACAAGACAGGGGATCACGGCTTGGGGTTGAAAATGGAAATGTTTATGAACTCACGTTCCTAAGTATTTCTGGACGGGTGACGTCATTGCCGCAGAATATGATTGCAAATTATTGGGGATACTTGGACGTAGGTACACAAAAGCATGACATCAATCAATTTCAAGTATTTATCATCATTTTTACTCGGCAATCCGCCCGTTTGTATATCAATATTTTGAGCGAGGACAATTTGATAACGAAGACGTTTAGCCATTTGCAGGGCCAACTTCTTCAGGCCCACAAGTGTCTCCTTCATTTTCCGAACCGCCCCATCTTGTCCCACCCCTCCTTTCCCCCTGATTAATGCCCTTACTGTCAGGGCAAACACTTCAAGTGCCCATTGAGCGCCCGGCTCCTCTGCCACCTTTCTCGAAGCTCGCAGGTGAGCACTCGTAAAACTCAAAAGCCACATCCGCCCACCATATTAAATTCTGCAATTCAACTTCGTTTCGTGCAGAAACAAAAAACTGTCTATAAATACTGTTAAATGAGTGAGTTGGAGTCTCTTGCGAACCAGGACACTGAAGGAAAAGATACCATCTAAAGCAGGTTGCATGCTAAAATGCTAAGTTCAAATATTTAACCACTTGTCCTTAAATTATCGCATAATATAGTATTAAGCTAAATGAATTATAGCCCAAATGCACTTTTTTCAACTTTTTAATTACAGGATGTATGAAAAAATATGTTTTTCATTAAATTCTATTCTATTCTCTGGTCAACCAAACGCCTCAAACCAGTTTGTTTGAAAATTCGTAATTTAATTATGGTGAATCGAAAAAGTCCTAAAATATCCTATATTTTCACACTTTGCCTTTAAACCCTTTTTTTCTCAGTATGTGTGTAGCCATACGTAGTTGCGGTTGCTTGTGGTTTCCCCCTGAAATAATTGTGGGTGTATGGGTGTTTGTGTGTGGGGACGCACGGATGGATGGTTCGATGTTGTTTCCCAGTTGTTTTTGGTTGAAAATCGATAGGAACAAGAAATCCATAAAAACAAAACAGTAACAAACGGAAAAAATGTGAAAAATGCATAACATCGTTGGAAAATATGTGGTCTCTGTCCACCAACTATAGAAAATACGTAAATTCTTCAACAAAGCACTGAAATAAATATGGTGCTTAAACATTTATGAGCTCATCTTTTTGACCTATGCTCGAAAACTCATTATTATTTTATAATTGGATAAAATGTATATTAATTGGGTGGATTCGCAAACACACTTAAGCACCTCACGTTGTCTGGGACAGAAAATACTTTAGGATACTTTGTTTTATACCAATAAATGTAAAATGTATCAATATTTTGGAAAGTTTTAAGTGAAAATGGAAATTGTATTTATATATAAAAAATAAAAGTTTAGGTCGCAAGTGATTTTGTTTAAACTTGGTTTGGTGCTGAACAACCCCCTTGAACAAATCGGTGGCAATATGGCAAGAATGCAAACCTGCTATGGATAATGTATGGGCTCTACGTACCAACTATTTCCGCTCGGGTGTAAAATTTCAGAGGCTTTCGGCCTTATACAAATCACTTCCGGGATGAAGCGTTCACGTTGTTGCACCCACAGTGCACACATACAGACGCCCACTGCCGCTCACACACACACTGACAGCTGGCCACGAGACACCAACACACGGCCAGAATCGCCTACACCTACGCAGATACAAACACACACACTCACACGCGAAGAAAAGGAAGAGGAGCTGCAACCTCTAATTTTCCTTTGTATTTGACAAAAAAACACTTTTCGTTTATTTCGTTGGACCGCTCCTTAATTATATAATTTTGTTTCACTTAAAGCACTTTACGATTTAACGCAATTGGCGCACATTCGTCGCATGATTTGCATAAACATTTTACTGATTTTTCCCACAGCACACACACACGCGCTACTTCTGTGACGTACGCACTATCGCACACACAGGCGTACTCTTTTTCTCCTTATTTTTTGTTGCCTATAATCGCGCTGCCGTTTACAGTTGGAAATGGTGTTCCAACTAAAGTAGTGCTTGTCCGTTCTTTCTTGGCCACGGCAAACGTTGTCTACAAACTGAATGATTTTATGGAGCGAGGCTTGCGAAAAGCCGCGCTCTGCTGTATAACTGTAAAAAGCGTGGCGTGCCAAAAGGAAGAGAGCGCTCTCTGAGAGAAAGCACGTTCCATGTTTTCTGTTGTTGTTGCTGCTGCTGTGGTGGTAGTTTCGCGGCCACAGGGTGACTCCCGCACGCAGGGCTCACCCTGTGGAAGAGACTACATGCGCGAGGCACAGTGGTGCAATTCTAGTCAGTGTCAAATTACAATTTCAACGTATGTTGAAACTTGCAATGCATATAATATTGTTTAATTTGGAGCTGCATGTAAAGCCCTGTCGGATCTTCGTAGTCTGATACCCTTTCCACTTTCCTACAAAATGTTGTTTTTAAGGCCATTTTGATTTTGTTTAATTAAAAATTTAATTGTAATTATATTATATATGTATCGCATAATTAAGTTCATTTCCGTGCATTACGTTACATTTGTGTACCCATTTCGAAATTCCCTCCGATTGCTATCGATTAAAATCGCTTTCCACTTTTCCGATACACAAACCAGGAAACGGGAAAAGCACTTGTGTCCAAATAAGAACAGGCAAGCTTTCCACATATGTATATACCGCCACGATTTAAAAAGGTGTAACATAAATAGTTGTATGAAGAAAAATATAAATTGTAAGCCTCCCTTAACTTTTATAACATTACTCAACTCATTTTTGGGTTTCATACCAGATTCCATACCCACAAAAATGATGTAATTAATTAAAAAATACTCTATTTATTTATTTTAAAATGCCCACAATTTTTAAAATAAAACAAAAAACAAAAACTGGACCGAAATACTTTAAAATATATAAAAGCAAACGTCAAAGGAAAATCACGCTCGTCAGCATGCGACTCGTGTTCGAAATCTGACAGATTTACGGATCCAAAACTAATCCCCGAAGGAAGAGGAATATATTCGAAATTAAAATACAAAGGCTTGGGCAAATTTCAAATTGTATCACTTTATTCAACGTTTTACGTTAATATTTTGTTGTTTTTTAATAATATATTCTTTACTGTACTTTAGCTGTACTCTTATAGGTTTTTCTTTCTAGTTGCGGGGACTGCTCGCTATTTGAACATTTAAACAATTATATATAAATAATTTTAGACGTCACTCGCTAGACATAACATAACGGGTATAAACTTAGTCTTACTATGTACGGGTGTATGTTTATGTATAGTCGTATTGTATAATATAGTTTATGTATATAAATATATGTACCATTACATATCATTGCATCAGCACAGCACTTTAAACACTTAATTGCCAGTATAAATAATGAATGTTCTTGCTGTCGCAAATTATAACAAATTTTCAACAGAAAACAAAAAACTACAATTTCTCGGCTCTTATTTAGAAATCATTGAAGTACTGCAAATCTCTTTGGTCTACTGCCTTGGCGGGCTTCCAATCCTTCTCGGGATAATCATCAAAATTTTTGGTATCGCCATCGTGATGTACATCGGGCAGAATTGGTGGCTATAAGTGAAGAAAATTCAAAAAATTATTGCTTTGATTGTATATATCTTATATTTTAAACTAATTGTCGCATACTTATGAGTGGTTAAGCTCAAGTTAAATTATGAAAGCCCTAAGAATTTATATAAATATTAAAGTTAGCTTCAGCCATAATTAGTTCTATTTGGTTCTATATTAAGAGCATTTCCTTTGAAAAACACATCAAACATACACATGTACGTGGCCGACGGGTAAAATTTGCGAAATGTGCGCAAGATTCAGCACGTTTGTAACAATCAGTCGTGACGCATTTAACCCATTGTCTCCCGCCTGGACGGAGGCGTTCATGTGGGCAATTAACACCTTCTCCTTCAGATGCGAAATGCCCCTTTTGTTACATTTCACTCGCACTTGGACCAACTGGACTGGGTAGAGCGAATCGGTAGATTTATGGGTCCAACACCCACCCAAAAGGCCGAAATAGACGCTGCGGTCATTAACTAACGGCACAGCTAATTTGGAAAACTTATTTGTTTATTTGCTTTTAATTACGAGAACGTATGAAAATACATTGGTCGTCTGACAAAAGCGGAGGCAAAACTCAGTGCGCCAAAAATCCACACAAAGTAATGACCACAATTACTAATAATTAAAAGGGAAAATCGGAAAATAGATAGGACCCTTGAACTCACCTTAAGCTTCTTGCTGTAGACGTCATTCCAATTCAAGTGCTTGAACCAGCGATGCCTCTTCACGTCATCGGCGCCATTCTGTGGGGATGAGGAGTATTCCGAAATCGGCGGGGGAACATAGAATGAAATACAAAATATTGGACATAAATAACGTTTTGCATTTGGCTAGCTCGTGTTGCAAAAAACGCGCGACAAATCTATTAAAATATAAGAAAATGCGGGGCGACGAAATTCGGAGGTAGGTGAAAAATGATTTCGAAAAAAATGTATTAGGCTAACTGACAACGAGCATGTGCAGATCTATTTGTGATAGCCAACAATTAATTTTTGATATATGCGATGCAATTTTTAATGCCAGCAACAAAATCCGACCGCGACAAGTGTAAACAATTCTCTATAAATATGGGGCCTAATAAGCCGGAAAATGTTAACGAAAGCCCTGCCAAGTATTTTTATGAGACTATCTGAGAAAAGAGTAAAGAAGAATGCAGGGGTGGTGCAAATAAATAAACTTTGACAGTGCTAATTTTACTTTTCATTAAAAGAAATCGAATGAAACAAACAGATGACTTGGCAGCTGAACAAACTTTATGCTCCAAATTATTTGTTTATTTATTCCATTCCCATGTTAGATCTTCCATACTTTCCAAACTTATAAATCTACAAAGTCTGCATATGATTCTCACCTTCATGTTGCCCAGTCGCTTGGTTCTATCATTCACCAGCAGCTTTTTGATCAAGTCTTTGGCAATGGGATCCATATGACGCTCCCACTCAATTTTTCCGCTCAAAATTTTCTCGTAAATCCCAAAGGGCTGTTCATCGTAGAAAGGTGGGTATCCCACGAGCATTTCGTAGATGAGAACTCCTAAAATTGAATTCATAATTACCATATATAATGAAAATCCTTGTAAAATACCGAATTGAGACTCACCCAATGCCCACCAATCTACGGCTTTATTATGCCCTTTGGATTGGATTATCTCAGGTGCTATATACTCGGGCGTTCCGCACAATGTCCAAGTGCGATCCCTTAGTTTTTTGGCAAAGCCAAAATCTGTTATTTTTAAATGGCCATCCCGATTGATCAGCAGATTCTCTGGCTTTAAGTCGCGGTAAACAATTTGCAGTGAGTGCAGGTATTCCAGGGCACTGACGATCTCAGCCGCATAGAAGTTGGCTGAAACAAAATGATTTCTATTGATACATACATAAAAGATATATTGAATGGTGACTTACAGGTTTGACTAGTGAATTTTCCTGCATTTCGCAGATATGTGAACAGCTCTCCGCCGCAGACATAATCGAAGATCATATACAGATTTGAGTCATCCTTTGTGGACCATTCCCTGCATGCAAAAAATCATTAGGTACTGGGATATATTCTTATATTATATAAATTAACAACAAAAATAAATTGAGCACAAGAAGTCTTTCAGTTATAAAAAGAGGAAAGCCCTTTTAAGAGAATTTCTGTTTAAATACAAAAAAATTGTTATACATATGAGCAAGAAATTATTTTTAAATAGTACAATTTTTTACACGATAAAATATATAATGAAAATTGGTTTAATTTTTACAAATTATAAGTTCTGATTTTTTTCATATTTGTCATATGCCAACTTCATTATCAAGGGTTTTTAAAGTTATTTAAAAATAAAAATGTGGGATATTTTCCATATTTTTTTACTTACAGGCTGATGACAAACGGATGTCGAATCTCGCGCAATATATTCCGCTCGTTCTTAACGTGTTCAATCTGCTTGAGACGAATGACTTCGGTCATGGCCAAAATCTTCATGGCACAGTACTTCTCCGAAATGCGATCGCGACATAAGCACACTCGTCCAAAGGTGCCCGTGCCTGAAAGGGAAAAGGTGGTAATGTAGGGTAGGGTATCGTATTATCGAGTGCAGCCAAGCCAAAACCGCAAACAACGTTCTTAAATATCGGGGCATGCCCCATTTAAGTGTTTGCAAACGATATGGCAAAGGTCTCGGCTTAACCAAAACGTGATTTAGTGACAGACGAGGTGAAAATTATACTACTCAGAAAGTAACATATAAATATTTAATATTCTTGAAGTGCCTTCATTAATATATTTAAATGAAATAGGTTCAAATAAGAATTACTTCCAGATATTTTGTAACTTTTTTAACCAGAAGTTAACCTATATCAATTTTGAATTCATAATTCTTCCTGTGCCCTATAGTATATTCCCATTTAATGAGCGCTATCTTTGGAACCACTTTTCGAACCTCAGCTGTTTGCATAATTACTGTTTTCACTGTCGAGCACGTTTTGAGGCTAGCACTACTAATATGACCAACTTGGGTGTGGGCTTACACGCCCGGCCGAGATTTTCTCAACCTTGAGTTTTTAATTGGGCTAACGCCCGACTCGCTGGGCATTCGGTGGGCCAACGAGTGACTAACTGGCAGGAAAGGAAACACGGAGCGTGTGAGCCTCTCGGATTTCACGTAAACACTTTGGCCAGATACACTTGTGGCCAAGAGCGACGGCTGGAAATTTCTTTCTTTTCATTTTCTCTGTTTTGTTTTCCATGGCATGCCAAAACAACAAAACGGCTACAAATTGATTTGTCTTATAAATCAAAAGCCGAAACGCAATCAAATCATTTCCAATTCGAAGCGGCCGGGGAGGAGTGGGAAAAGTTTCGCTTTCTGCAGCTGCTTTTAGTTTTTCAGCACGTTTTCCCTGTATGTACGCAATGGTCGGTGTTCCCGTTCGTTCATGCCAACCATAATTAGCCGTGATTTTCAATGTAATAAAGCAGAAGTGATTAGATTATTGAACTCTGCCACAATTATTTGCCACGTGCGTTCCTCCTCGAAAAATTAAACATCACAGTCCGAAGAATATTTGGCTTCTTATAGCTGCGGTCAAGCAAAAGAAACAGGAAAGACGGCCAAG